TATATATATTGTTTGGAATATGTTGTTTACATATTTAAAATTTCATGTGAATTGCTTTTGTTTTGAAAAAGTTATATACATTTATATTATATAAATAATATTTCAAATTTTTTTACACTATCTGTATATATTTTATTAATTTTTTAAAAATTTAAAGTTGAAAAAACTTTTTTAAAAGGTTAAATCTTAATTTTATTATTTCTATTTTTGTTAAATTTTTTTTTTAGTATATAATCTTTAAAAATTTTTTAAAAATATTTTGTTTATTTTAATTAGATCTTAAATTTTTGATTATTTTGAGATTCTCAAGAATAAATATTTGTAATTTTAAATTAATTAATTTTTTTTTATAAAATATTAAATTCAATAATATAATTTTTAAAAAAATAAGATCAAATAAATAATTTTTAAAAAAATAAGATCAAAAAAATAATTTATAAATTGATTTATAAATTAATAAAAAAAAATCATTTATTAAATACAATAAAAAAACAAATAATTTATAAAATATTTAAAAAATTGGATCATATTTAAAAATAAATTATATTAATTTGTAAATTAATTATTTTATAACTTAAAATCATCAAAAAAATAAATTATGTAATACAATAATTTTATTCTTTAATATTTAAAATTATATGTACATGCTAAAAATCATTAAATGTTGTTATTCATTTTTGACCTTTATAACAAAATCTTTAAAACAAATAAAAATTTTTTATAAAGAATAAATTAAAATCAAACATATATCATATATCATATATATTGTTTATATTATTAAATTATATAGTACTATTATTATTATCAATTATATATTTTTGATTTTGTTAAAAAAAAAAAACAGATATTTATTTATTTATTATAAATAAAATTTATTTTTAGATTTTAAAACTTAAATGATTAAAATATTAATATAAAATATAATTAAGAATATTAAAAAAAAAATAACAAACCATTAATTATAAGAAATCCATATTATATTTAATCAATAAAGTAACAATAAAAAAAACATTGTGTACGTATAAATTTGAAATTTGAAAAATATCAATGATAAAATTTTATTAATCTGTTTTGAATTTTATATATGGTATACCGTACTTGTTTTTTTTTTAATCTTAATAAATGTATATAATAAGTTATAATAAACCCGAACTTTTAATAACATATATTAAATGATATTAATTTCTCAAGATTAGTATCAAAGAATTAAAATATTTAAATGATTAATATTAATTTTTCAGGATTGATTAAATTTTTTCAGATATACATATAATTATTGGGCAAAATTGGTTTAATAATACAGTATTGGTATTATAATAATTAACAAAATATGTTAATGCGCGTGACCTGTAACACAATTCAAAATAATTCTTTTTCCACCAGTTACGCTCTTACCAAATTAGGCATCCTTTTTTAACAGTCATTGTGCGCAAATTCACGAAGTGACTCGGTCTTTTACGTAATTTCTATAAACACCTTCCATACTTACTATAACAAATTCTAGTACATTTATTTTTAAAAAAGAAATATTTTACGAAGGATTGAGTGTCAAAAAAAAAATTATGTACATGTATTAAACTTAGTTACTGCTTTTTTTTCTTTAAATTTTTTTTTTTTTTTTTTTTTTTTTTTCTTTTATTTTAAAAACAAAAAAAAAAAAAAATTTTAAATTTTAATAAAAAAAAAAAAAAAAAAAAAAGAAAAGATAAGCGAAAGATATATTTATAACTTTTTTATTCTCAAGCTTGGTTGAGAAGGAAAACCCATCAATGAACAATAAATAAAGTATAAGGGAAACGAGTGAATAATGAAGGGTATTACCGAATATAAATAAATCTCCAAAAGTTCTTTTTTTCTTTTGAGACTCAGAGAACAAGGGTGGTGGTGGTGGTGGTTAATAAATGCTAGGGTACTTGTATCCATTGGTATTGTATATTGAAAAATATTATCCAATGTATGAGAGAAGTGAAAGCTTATGATAGGCGAATTCAATGAGGAGATATAGGATCTTGTAAGAGGTTATAAAACAAAAACAATAATAATACAGATATCAAAAATAATACTCTAAATATAAATTCTACTCTGTTATGTTTTTTGTAAAACTGATTCAATGCCCAAACCGAGGGGATTGGGAGAAATGTAGGAAAAGAGAGTCCATGTGTTCTGTGCGCAAACTTCGTCTAATAAGGGATTTCCTTTTTTTTTTATTTTATATATATATTATTATTAATATATTTCTTTAGACAGAATGTAATCGGGTCCACGGTAAAGAGCCATCATGAGGGCGGCAATGAGAATTACGATAAATCGGCACCATTTCCATATTGTCGACAGGAACATATATATAGTAGCGATCCACCATCTAATCCATCTTTTCCAGAACCATTCTCGTCTTGGCGGAATATCATCGTCTTCAAATTCCTCCAAGAAACTGAATTCACCGTCAGACAAATAATCTATTTGTGATATATCGTCATCTAGATGTGAACCGTTTGATAAAAAGTAATTTTTGAGATCACCTTCCGAAGTCACCGGTGAAAACATTGGCGACTCCACATTCCCTCCAAACTTTTTTCCATCTCTTTGAAATATCGTTAACTCTCGGAACCACTCGTTCTCTAACTCGGAAAGCAACGTTTTCCGAAACTTATTACCGTTCGATTGTTGGGATCCGGTATTGGCAGAACCAAACAAAGACGCACCATCCGGATTACTCAGTCGTCTTATGGCGTTTGTCATTATATTACTTTCGGAGAAGGAACTCGACCGTGATTGAGTACGCGAGTACATTCCCGATCTCATGCTCACAATCATCGCGCGTTGTTCTTCCACGGTTTCGCTTAGATCATTGATAATGAGCTCTTGTTCCCTATTAGCGACTTGCAACAATTCGTAACCTTTTGATGCATCAGCCAACTCGTTGTAAGATTCTCGGAGAGATTCCAGGTCCTTCGAGGCACGATTCAAACGTCTCTCAATTTCAGCCTTTGCCCGTTCAACGGTTTCATTTTGTTCTTCCAAATCCGCAATCTTACGATGTAGTGTATCAAGGTAAGCATCATTGTCATTTTTGTTATATTTCAAGTTCCAGAATTCCGATTTTTGCTTCTGTTTTAAACGTTCGTTTTCCTTTTCGAGGTCTTCAATCTTCTGTGAGGCTGAAGAATATTCTTCTTGATAATAACTAATTTCAGACTCCATCTTTCTAATTTTTGCCTTGGTCGTCTTTTCATTCTCCGAACATTCTCTTATGGCATCGTCGAGCTGTGCTTGGAGTTGCATGTTTTTGATTTCAAGCTCCTTTATGTTTTCGAGGTCATTATAATTTACACGTGATCCACCTCTTTTTGACGAATCATTTATTGGGGGGACATCGACGGAACTGCTCCGTCCATAAGTTGAATCATTATCGCTCTCATCAAACTCCATGAACGAATCCGGTGCCGCTATTTGCGTTACATTAGGTTTATTGACAGCTCCGGCTTGTAATGAAAACGTGGCGTTCTTAATGCGATCTCGTTGCAATTGTTGCAATTGGGTGGCCATCGCTTCACACTTTGATTTGAGGGAAATGTTGTTCTCAAGTAGACTTTTGCCAATCTCGGCGGCCAACGTAAGGTCTGCATTAAAATAAATAGGAAAAAACTATCAGGGGTTGTGACAACGATGCAAAATTTGAAGAGCACCATTAATTATATAAGATAATTGAGATGAAACCCATGGTTCGATCAAACATCCATCGCTCGTGTGCGTAAATTAAAATTTTTCTTTTATATAAAAAAAAAATGAATTGGAATACCTCTTTCTTTCTCTTTTATTGCATTGTAAGCTTCCTTCAGTAGAGCAGTTAGTTCAGCCTGGGATTTGTTCATGTTCATTGAGACTGATAATGTTGGCGAAGGGCATGCACTAAATGAGGGCGAGGAAGGAGTGGCGGGTGTGCCCATTCCCGAGAAACCGCCAATATCCAGGGACAGTTTCGACGTCTTCATATGAGGAGTCTGGGGTGAGGCTGCCGTGATCATCTTCACACAGTGAACGTATTTAAATTTATGCCTCGACTTTTCCCTTTAAGACAATGTTTCTTATGTTTATCAAGGGTGAATAGTTTTTTTATGTTTGATGCACGGTCTGTCGATTGTGTCTCCAGGGTGATGAGTTTGATGAAGCGAACGGAAGAAGTTTACGTAGAGTTTATTACAAAATAATGTCAGTTTTTTTACAAGGACAATCGAAAACCAAAAAAAAAAAAAAGGTGTTTAGGATGGGTTAATATATGACACGACTTTAAAAAGGGTAGGGGAGGCTCGAAAGCGTATATATATAAAAATATATACGTAAGTGAGGTATTTATGTATGTATAAAAAGTATATTTTCTTGAATAGAAAGTGGTTGTTCTGATTTTTTTTTCTCCACCAACCAGCTACCAGTAGTCGAAAGCTTCCTCGTTATATTTGTTTACGGGAAAAGTTCGTCAGTAGGAAGGAGAAAAAAAAAAAAAAACTCTTCTGACTGTAGTAGGATCACTTCTTGTGTGCGTAAAAGCAGCTCACATACCTGTTTATACCCCTTGTTATAAGAGATTCAATTGAACCACCACACAGTATATTTAAAAAAAATTTTTTTTTTGAAGATAAAATAAATGATTCAACTGATTAGAATGTGCGGAACATGTGTGTGTGATAAGTAATTATACTGCATGCAATGAAACGACTAATGGATGATTTGAAAGAGAACAAAAAGTTTGGGTGTGGCAATGAGCTCACACAAAGTCGGTGACGGTGATGGCAGGGAGGAGAGTAAAGAGGAAATGGCGCGGAAAAAAAGGGGACGAGAATTTCAATCATTATTTATATATACGTGTCTTTGGCATTTAGATTTGGTAAAAATGGCTTTAATAATAATGATGATGAATGATAATAATAAACAGTTTTCAGTATTATTATTTTTATTATCATTATTATTATTCTTTATTTTATTTTTTTTTTTTTGTTACATCAGAAGAAAGAAATATTAAAGCTTGAAATAGTAGTGGGAAGCGAATAATATGATTTTATGTCGTGTATATGTTTATGTTGTGGTTTGTAAGATTGATATGGTAAGTTCATGATATCATTATGTACGAGATGCTTCATTCTCATGTGGTTTTCGTGTGAAAATGGGAAATTAATCGGATAAGTGCGCATCCTTATCCAACTAAACAACAATAGATAAAAAAAGAGTGTGATACTTCTATCAAGTTTTAACGATTTCAACAGGACAACTCCTATTAATCACCACCTGGTTTCATTCATATATGTGTTACTCATCCGTATTGCTCTATTATATTTTTAATGAAAAATTTCAATGGCTTTTTCTTTCTGTGTAAAGAGTCGATGACCTCCCGGGAACTCTTGATTTTCAAACAAATAAGGAACTTGTTTTCACTCTAAGTCCAGAAACGGTGAATTGGCCACGAAGCAAGATGAATGTAGGCAGTATATCATTTCATTCCATGTGCCAATGATCAATTTCTATTATCTCTAAAATATTGGGTCAATCTACATGCATTCACTTTGTTACTCTTGGATGTATGCTGTTTAAACTACGACGTTAGCATTGATCACAGGTGACATGATGGAATTTAGAATTTAGGTAAACGTTTGTTGTAGAATTTACAACAAATTCCAGGGGGTAGAAAGTTTAAATGCGGTGTAACAATCTTGAGTAATGACAAGCTCCATTGCGTTAAGCGTGACGTAATAAAATCCAATGAAGGGTCCACATTTGCTTAAAAGAAAATTGCTTACGAAATAATGCCAACACGAAAATGTTTGGTTCTTTGTTGATTGAAAATTCGAATGCCCCTTCCGTTATTAAGCGTTCACCGGTAATTTCACGTGACATTACGCAGAATCCCTTCGCGTGATAATGACAGGGGTTTTTTCAAAGGTGCACTTCACCTGAAAACGAGAAATCATTTTTTTAGGCATGGCGTGATCATTTTCTGTCTCTAGTATATAAAAAAAAAAAAGAAAAGAGTTTCATACTCCTTTCTTCCTTTTTGCTCGACTTTATCACCACCAACATTGGATAGATCACCCTTCCATACACACTCCTTTTTTATTCATCCCTGTATGTTCGTGTCTCATGAAAATTAATTTCCTATCTCATAATTTTTTACTCCTCCACTCATCATGATTTCACGTCGACACGCTTGTTCCCGCTTGTTCCTCGATTTAGTTAAAAAAAAGAGAGAGAGAGACAAGTCAATTGATCAAACGACTTTCCGTGCCTAGTTCCATAAGGCAACAAAAAAACTTGATGATATAATGATCATGACTTCACAAAGCTAGAAACGCATCATCATCATCTATCGTAAAACCGTGCCTTGAATTAACGCGCCAAAAAAATTCATTAGTGATCTCTGTTGCTGGCAATTTGTGAGCGATTCATCGTCGATGGATTTTCGGGTTATCGAAAAAAAAAAAAAAACTAGTGAATTTAGCGAATTTAGCGCTTTGATCAATGTGTAATCTTTGCGTATTGTGCCTACTATGAAGATACTAGATAATACTCAAGTTTTATTTGTTTGTGCAAGTATAAAAGATTTTTGTGTGGGGAAAATTTGTTACACAAAATGTTTGTATGTAAACAATCCTTTTGACGCACGAACTTTTAAAGGGTCTAATTAAAAAAAAAAAAAAAAATCTGTTCTTCCTTACATCGTATGTGCGAAAATAATGTTATGCTCGTGTGTACTGTACATATGATAAGAAATCCACGACTTTTGATAAAGTTTTGTCGATATCTTTTTTATAAATTAAATCCGTCATAATTAACCCTTATCTCCATACCTTTTCCCACCCAAAGTAAACTTCCGTATTTAAATTACGACCATTGTATTGAAATAAACACGCACCAACGGATTACTAAGCATGGCTCGCGCGGAAAGTTATGTTTGGGTGTGATACGGAAGGTAAGGTAAGGTAAGGTGTGTCAAACGTTACGGTGACACACAGGTTTGTGAAATCGCTAAAAAAAAAAACAATGTTTTAAAATGACAATTGTTAAAAGGGATGACGAAAAGAGACATCTTAATCTAGTCTGTTTTCTTTGGTGGCTGGTGGCTCTATTTTTTCTTTATATTTGATGTGTGCACTAATCACATTTTGCTGTACTATATTTGATGCATGCATCTCGCGTCAATTACCAGCTTCCAACCTATCTGTCACGAGAAAGAATGTTCTTTGACAGATTTTTTTTTCTCAGCCGAACGACATGACAACCACCAACTACCGAAGAGATGTCAACCAAATACAGGGAACTATGCTCAAGTGTACGTTCTCTAAGAGCAAATACAGTATATGGACTCGTATTTATCATTTTAAATGCAACTTGTTTCTCCTCGCAAAATTTCCATGATCTCACATGTTTTCCGTGATTCCGGATTATCTTCCGGATCAAACTTGGTATCAATGATCGGGTTCAGGTTCTTTTGGAACCGGTTTTTCAGAAAAGGAATCAGTTTGGCTCAAGTTCGAAGCCACCAAAAATTGGAATGCGACTTCTGCTGCCAATCTACACATTGTCTTTATCAAAAAACGTTCTGATCGAGTGATTTTTTTATATAGCGAATTTAACCTAATTTTGCTTATTTTGTACATACATACGCGGTGCGCACTTCTTTGAACATCTTGTTTCACCGATTCTAAGTGAATAATTCAAGTTCTTTTGATCGATTCTACGGGTGCGAAAAACTCGAATCCATACAGGATTCTTATTTAGGACAAATCGCCATCTTTCCCGATTTCAAAATAATTAACGTGATTCTCTGGTGGCACTATTTTGCGATAATTCTCATCAGCCTTTTTTCACGTTCGATTGACTCTTAATAATTTATCTAACTAAATGGTCGATACTTACTCAATTCGAATGATCCATTCTCTTAGTGATTTCCTAAATCGGCTATTTTCCGTCAAATGATGTATCATCTCTCGCGAGGTTTCACGTAACGAGATTAACAACGACCAGTCTGCACTTTTCTTATCCTCGAACGGTATGCACTCAGCATTTTATCCATTTAAAGAGTATCGATATTGGCGATAATGATAATCAGACAATAATGGGACTATCGTAACTCGTAACTAATGTTCTACCTTAGCAACTAGCAATCAGATAAGGATAAAAATATTGTCATTAGTATTAAACAATAAGTACTTGACATATAGTATAGGCATCTAATATCTTTTTTTATATTTGATCTACAGTTTATGAGTCTGTGACAAAAAAACTTGTACTATACATCAATTTTTATTTTTGTAATATTTTAATAACTAATTGATAAAATAAGATAAAAATCTATATTAATATATTTAAGAATATAAAAAATAAGTTTAATTAATAAAGTTTTTAAAATATATTATTAAAATTTTCTTAAAATTTAATTTTTAAAAATAATTGATTTTAATTATATTACAAAATAGAAATAATAAAAATTATTAAAATTATTTTAATGCATAGATTTGTTAAATTAAAATAATAATAATAATATAATAATTATAATTATTATTTTATTAAATACAAAAAATTATTTAATAATTAACTTAATTTAAAATTTAGTTTAATATTACTAAAAAAACAAATTTTATATTAAAAGTAGAATTTTTAAAAGTTTTAAAATTTTTTTAAAAATAATTTTATATAATAAAAAAAACAAATTAATTTTAATAACATTTATTAAATTTTTATTCATTTTTATATTTAATTTTTCAAAAATTTTTCTATAGTAAAATTTTAATTTCCATTTATATTATAAAATTTATAATACATTTTATAAAAAAAATTTTTTTAACTTTAAATCAATATTTTCAAATAAATTTATTAATTAAGTATCAATAAAACTTTAATCTTATATTATTTAGATTTAAAAAAGATATATTTAAAATTTTATATTAATTGAATTATTCATTATTAAATAATAATAAAAATAATATAATAAGTTTTTTTGTTATAACTGTATTTTTTTATTCATTTATATATGTAT